ACTGACAATTCCTTCAAAGAAATTTAAGCTTTTACTATTAAATTTAAACTCATTGCCACTGAGTGAGAACAGATCCTCCAGATGGGTTTCTGAGCCTGTAAATCACACAGGAAAAGATTGTTCATTTCCTCCCCCCCCCCCCATGAAGCCACTGGGGGATTCAAATTGCCAGAGAGTTGGGGACATTGGATTATGGACTACATCAGCAGTGCATTCTACACTAACTTGTTAGGTGCTGTCAAGTTGAACAGGACTAATTTAGAAGACAGTTACCAGGCAGACTGAATGGAAGATATCCATATTTCTTCCAAATCCAAAAGAAGGTGATCCAACAGGAAGTGGAAACTATAGAACAATATCACTAATCTTACGTGCAAGTAAAATCTTGCTAAAGATTATTTAAAAAACAACAGAGTTAACACATCAACAGAGAATTGCTGGAAATTCAAGTTGGACCCAAAATAGGCCACAGTACCAGGGATATCATTGGTGATGTCAGATCTTGGCTGAAAGTAGGAAATACCAGAAAGATGGTTATTTGTGTTTTATTGACTATGCAAAGGCATTTGAATATGTGAATTATGACAAATTATTGATAATATTGAGATGAATAGGGATCCCAGAACACTTAACTGTACTTACGTGAAACCTAAATCAAGAAATAATTGCCTGAACAGAATAAGGGAATATGACATGGTTTAAAATCAGGAAATATGTGCATTAGGGTTGTATCTAGGCCTATTGAATCTGTTGAATTATTTGAAAATGATTCGAAATGCTAGACACTATGTAGAAGAATGTGGCATCAAGATGGGAGGATTAACAACTTGTGTTATGTAGATCACACAACTTTGATTGCTGAAAGCCTAGAGGACTTGAAACACTTGCTCCAGAAGATTAAAGATTATATCTTCAATATAGATTACATCTCAACATCAAGAAGACAAAAATCCTCACCACTGGGCCATAATGAATATCATGATAGATGGGGAAAAGATTTAAATTTCCATCGATTTCATTTTACTTGAGTTCATAATCAAAACCTATGGTAACAACACTCAAGAAATAAAAAGTTGTCTTGCATAGAAAAATCTGCTATTAAGGACCTCTCCAAAATGCTAAACAGCAGAATGTCTGTTTAAAGACTAAGATGCACCTGATCCAAGGCATGGTATTTTCGATTACTTCCTTAGGTATAGGGAAGTTGAACATCAATGATGATGGCAGAAGCAGAGTTGAAGCCTTTCAGCTGTGGTGCTGGAGAAGAGTACTGAATCTTCCATGGACCGCCAAAAGAACAAACTGTCTTGGAGGAAGTACGACCAAGGTACTCTTTAAAGTCTTTAAAGTCAAGGTTGGTGAAACTTCATCTCATGTCCTTTGTTGTTGGAAGGACTAATCGATGGAAAAGGATATCGGTCTCAGTGCCTGTGGCAGTGGACTTGAGCACGATCCTGAGGATGGCACAATTTAAGACAATGTTCGGATCTGTTGTTATAAGGCTCCTATGAGCTGCAAGTGACTCGATGGCACATAACAACAACAACAATGAACCTTCCCGGCTTTACTGCGGCCAGGTGCCATCCAACTGATCATGACTCATAGAGACCCTATGAACAATAGATCTGAATCTTGCTCTATCTTGCACCATCCTTATCATCTCTGTTACACTCAGGTCCATTGTTATGGTCACTGTGTCAGTCAGTCACATTAAGAATCTTCCTTTCTTTCTCTGACTATCTTTCTCAGTATGACATCTTTTTTCCAAGGACTGGTCCCTCTTGATAACATGTCCAAAGTACTGCCCCTTAATACCACTGTTCTAAAACAGGACTGACATGGGGGTTGGGGGGAAACTAAGAAAAGAGGGGATAAATAATGTACACGGCATTGAAACAGACAAGGGAGAGAACTGTATAAAAGGAATATATGATGGGGTATTACTGGCATGACAAGAGTCCAGAATAAGAGCTGCATAGGAAAGTGATCTGGGGAGGGGGGTTGGGAGGGTGTGGGGGTGGGATGGGACTGTAAAATAGTGAAATAACTCTTTTTCCAAAGAAAAAAGCAATTTTGGGTGAGGGGAAAATATGCAACAATGAAGGATTGGAAACCCAAGTTCTTTATAAACTTTCATTAACATCTCAATAAAAAATAAAAATAAATAATAAATAATAATAGAAATAGAAAAATAAATAAATAAATGCAATGTAATGAAAAAAGAAACCCACTTCCCACGGATTGACTCAGTGACGGGGAAAATGGGTGCAGGTGTGTTGGAGACAGTGAGATTGGCTCGAGATAGCCAAGGGTTCAGAGGTACTGTGGGTAAGGTCGCTATGAGTTGCATAACAACAACATCTGTATTTCAAGTTGTTGAGTGTGTTTACACAGCATTCCACTCTCAATACCTAAATCTAGTGCTGCTATAACTGAAACACCATGTGTGAATGGCTTTCTGATATTTATTTAATTTCTTTTCTGATAGTTTGGAGGCCAGAAGCTCAAATTCAGAGTGCCAGCTTGAGGAGAAACCTTTCTCTCTCAGATGGCTCTGAGGGTGGTTATGAGCCTTCACTAATGAGGTGGTGTGTATGTGTATGTGTGTGTGTGTGTGTGTGTGTGTGTGTGTGTGTGTGTGTGTGTGTTAGAGAGTAAGTTACGTTTCCCCCCAAATTGGTATTTTGAACCCTAATTTCTATGCCTCAGTTATAATCCTATCTACAAATGGTGGTTTTGCTAAATTAACAGAGGCAGGATTGTTGTCATTAAATACCATGAAGCCATAGCTGACTCTGTAGTAGATTTCCAGAGGCAGTAAACTGTATGGGAGGTGACTGCTCATCTTTTTCCCACAGAACAGTGGGTGAATTTGAACCACCTACCTTGGTATTGGCAGTGCAATTCTTTACCGTGGAGCCACCCGAACTCACCAGAGGCAGTAATAGTTTGGAGTGTATCTGGAGTCAGTCTCTTTAGACTTTGGCTCCTGGTTCCTTAGAGATCTCCGTGTATTTTGACATCTGTTTCACTGCATCTCTTTGCTTTTCCTTGTTGAATCTGTTTCATCTCTTTCTCTCTGCCTGATCCCCTTTTGTTTTTGTAAAGTGACAAGGTACTAACTCTCTCTGGTTCTCAGGGTTGTTGTGTAATTTAGAAAGATCCATTGAAAAATACCATGCCAAATGCAAAGTCTCTATGATTTCCCAGGTGTGATGGAATGGATACAACCCTGTGTGCTGAAAATAAGGAGGATTTGAGGCACTTGCTGCAGAAGATAAAAAAACTGCAGCCTTCAATATGGATTGTATCTCAACATCAAGAAAACAAAGGTCTTCAGCAGAGGACCAGCAGTCAACCTTATAATAGGTGGAGAAAGCATTAAAACTGTCAATGATTGAATTTTCCTTAGATGAATATTCAGCACCCTTGATCCTAGCAGTCAGGAAGTCAAGCGATGTACTCATTACATTAGGCCATTCCGTTGTCAGGAACCTCTTCAGAGTGCTGAAGAGCAATGATGTCAGTTTGAAGACTAAGGTTCACCTAATTCAGGCCGTGATCTTCTCAATCATCTGCCACACATCAGAGAGCTGGACAATGAATAAGGATGTCAGAAGAAATGATGTCTCAGTTGTGCTGTTACAGAAAAATACTGAATAGCCCATGGACTCTCAAGAGAACAAACAGGTATGTCTTAGAAAGGGTGCCAAATGGAGTGCTCCTTGGAAGCAAAGATGGAGAAGCTTTGTCTTTCATACTTTGGATTTGAAGCTAGGTGACGCTGTTCATTGGAGAGGGCCATCATGCTGAGAAAGATGGGGAGTCAGCAAAGGAGAGGAAGACCCCCAGTGAGATGGAAGGACACAGCAATGTCAGCAATAAGCTTGAGTGTTTTGGAGAGGGTGAGGATGGCACAGGATAGGGCAGGGTTCAGGTTGGCTGTTCATAGGGTCACTGTGAGTCATACTCAACTTGATGGCACCTAACAACAACATGCTAAGAGCAGAACTATCATACAGACTAGAACCGCACTTTGACTTTCAAGGGATGATTTTTTTTTATTTTTTTTATTTTGTGTATGTGTACCGTCAAATCAGATCTGACTGGTACAGGAGGATATTGCGCCTCCTTCTCCGGCAGAGCGTCTGGTGGATTCGAACTGTGTTCCTCTGGGATTGCAGTGCAGTTTCTTGCCACTAGGCCACCAGAGCTCCCCTCAAGGGATGATTTTTGAAAAGCAGATCACCAGGCCTTTTATCTTGGTACCTCTTGATTGTACTTGAAAACACAATCCTTTTTTAGCAGCAGAAAGCTGATCCATTTGTATCACTTTAATGATTTGTTGATGTCAGGTCCTATGGAGTCCAGTCCTCACAGTGACCCAGTAAACAAGAAATCTGAACCCCTGTGTCATCTCAACATCTCTGATACACTTTAGCCCATTGCTGCAGTCATCAATTTTGTTGGAGATCATCCTTTCTCTTGCTGACCCTCTGCCCTTCCTAGGATGATGTCCCTCTCCTAACAACACGCCCAAAGTATGTGAGATGAAGTCTCAATATCCTTGCCTCCAAAGGAACTCTCTGGCTGCACTTTTTATAAGACATATTTATTTGCTCTTTTGGCAATCCATGGGATATTCAACAATTATAACGATTATAGTTGTGTTAATCACAAGGAGAATAAGTCTAGGCTGTGTCAAGGGCCCTTGGAGGCTCAGGAACTGTAAATATCTATGTTCCCTGTGCTTGTCGGCTTCATGAAGGCTTCCTCTTTCTAGAAAGGCTTCCACTCCCCCTTCTTCCCAGCTCATCCCCACCTTTAACACCAAAGGTGCAGGATGACTTGACCTGGGCACGCGTGTGCATGCACACTTTTTTTTTTTTTTGAAGACAAGAACTTCATTTCCTTTCTTGACCAGTTAAGGAATTTCCGTGAGCTAGAGAGGTTTGTGGAATCCAGAGGGAAAAATCCAGGGCGGAAGCTGTGTTTCTCGCGTTGAGCCGCCTGCGGAGCTGCAGCGGGGCCCAGGGTGCGGGCTGCTCCACCTCCAGGCAGCTTTGCAGACTCGCCAAGGGAGGCCGCGCCCGCTCCTCCAGGGCGTCTTCGCGGAGCCCTGGGGGCTGCGCCTGCCGCCCAAACATTATTCAGAACCCAACGTCAGCCTTTGGCTCCAGCCCTGGCGCGAGCTGTCCAGGGTTTGGACTTCCTTGGCCCTGTCTGAACCCTGCGGCCATGGGCCAGGGCGGGGCCCAGCGCAGCGAGCCAGGACCCTCTCCTGACGCCTCACGGTCGCCCCAGGGCGTCGTTCTCGTGGTTGCTTGGGTCCTCTTGACCCCCTCAATCAGCACCAGCCCCCACCCCCCACCGCCCTGGGCCCTTACCCGGTTTTCCATGCTTAAAAAACGCGAGGGCTTAATTTAAGGGTTTGCAGATGTGTGTGCGCCCAGGCGTGCCAGGGACCGGGAGGCTACCTCGCGGGGCTTTGAACCACGCAGCTCCAAGCACGAGCACCTCAAGTGTGCATCCCAAGTGTCCACGTGCTGGAGCTTTACTTTGGAGCCTGTGGGGCTGCCCTGCCCTGTGGGTGCGGAGAAGCCTGCGCCCTCGGAGCGGAGGTTGGAGTCTGGGACAGGGGAGAGGGCGGAGAAGCCCTGGGCGGCCACCCTGATGCCTCCCGCTTGGAGGCTTCAGAAGGACTGAACCCCTCAAGGGCTCCAGCAGGGCAGCTTCCAGATGTGTGCAGCTGTGCGGAGGGAGGCTTCCAGAAGGATTCAGGGTGGGGGTCGTGGGAGGAAGTCGTTGCCTGGGTGGGGAGGCTTCGTCCTGGAGAGCCTGAGAAAGTTCACAGAAGTGAACTGGTGAGCAGAAGTGTCTGGGACCTGGAGCCCAAGACTTGAGAATGGGGTCCTGGTTCGGCCGCTTGCCAGCTGCCCAACTTTCAGAAAAATCACTCCCACCTTCTGCTTTCGTGGTTAGAAGTAATTATAGCTACCACTTGAGTGCTTACTATTTTTCGTGTACTTTATATCTATTATTTTTATCCTCCCAGCCACTTTGCAAGGTAGGTGTTGTTGCCCACAAGCTGCAGATGGACTTGGAATCTTACCCAGAGGAAGAGGCTTGCTAAAGTCTCACTGCTGCTCAGTCGGGGACTTTGTTGTTATTGTTATGTGCCATTGAGTCACTTGCGACTCATAGTAATCCTATGTACAAGAGCCCTAAACCTTGCTCTATCCTGTGCCAACCTCACCATCTTCGACACACTCATTCCCACCACCCCAATCACTAAATCAATCCATCTCATCTAGGGTCTTCCTCTTTCTTGTGCTGTCCCTTCACCCTCACAAGCACGACGTCCCTCTCCAAGGTCTGGTCCCTCCTTGCAACATGTCCAAAATATGTCAGAGGAAGCTTCAGAATCCTTGCCTCCAAGGAGCAGCCTGGCTTCACCCTCTCCAGGACAAACCTGTTTGTTCTACTAGTAGTCCATGGTATATCCAACATGCTTCTCCAGCACCAAAGCTCAAAGGCATCAATTCTCTTTCAATCATCCCTAGTCACTGTCCAGCTCTCCGACGCATAGCACTCAATTGCAAAGACTATAGGCCAAATCAGGGACTTAGGAATTGAATTTATCTCTAATTCCAGAGGCTGTCGCTCTCCCTGTGGGAAGGACCTGGGCGTTAAGAGAACAAAGCACCAGAGAGTTTAAAGGGTAATGGATACCAACCCCTCTGAAGTTCTTGTCTGGAAGCATGACCTGCCTGTCTGACACTTCCTTCTGACAGTGAGGCACAAGAAGAAGGGGCACATGGTGGAATACTATGCAACCCTAAAGAGTAAGAATAATTCACAAAGCACCCAATAACATGAATGTTGTTGTGATTGCTGTCGAATTGAGCACAACTCGTAGTGACTCTATGAACAAAAAAGGCCGGAAGCTTTCTATAACTATTGTCATTTATCAAAGTTCATAGAGTTTCCAGAGGCACGTTGTTTAGGAAGTGGATGCCGTTCCTGCTTCCAAAATGTGGCTAACCCAAAGCATATTATGTTGAGTTAAATAAATTAGTCAAAAAAGGATAAATATTATGTCTATTATTATAAAAAGTTGACGGAAACATTCTTTGATGGTTACCAGGGAGAGGGGAGAGGAAGAGGAGGAAAATGGGCAATTGAATATTGTTCCATCAAGTCTACTTTTTGTGCCATCAAGTCTACTCTAACTCAGTGATACGGTGAACAACAGAGCAGAGTCCTGCTCTATCCTGCCCATCCTCACAACCTCCAGCATGTTTGAGGCCATTGGACAGTCGCTGTGCCCAGCCATCTTGCTGAGGGTCTTCTCTTTCTATGACACTCTACTCTTCCCAGGATGATGTCTTTTTCCAAGGACTAGCCCCGCTGATAACACACCCAAGGTATATATATGAGACAAATGTTTCACCATCCTTGTCTCTAAGGAGCAATCTGTTTGTTCTTCCTTCAAGACAGACTTGTTTTGTCCTTTGGCAGACCATGGGATATTCAGTACTCTTCTCCAACACCGTAATTCAAAGGCATTGATTCTTCATTGTTGTCCTTATCCATTCCAACTTATTGACGCCTGGGGAGCTGTGTCTCATTATGTGAAGGGAAAGGCTATATAATAAAATAAGGAGCTGACCTGCATGATGCCAATAGAGAGAAGACACCGAGAGGTGCACAAGAGTACACTCGTCAAAGGCACAATCCTGCATTATCAACAGTAACAAACATTAATGTACAAGGTGGCTACATAGACTGACAAGCAAGAAGAACAGACACAGGCAAATGAGAGGAACTACATGCATGATCATATGTAGATTTGGCAGATGATATTACATGCATATGTGCAAGTGCTGTGAATACATACACATACATAGTAGAGCCATAAGGGAGCACCATGCAAACTTCCTCATTATAACCAAACACACTAAAGGAGTGAGTTGCTGGTCCTGGGGTTTTAGGGCACAGCCTCAGGGGATATCAAAGTCAATTAGAATAACCTAGTTCCCAAGGATAATATACCACTTTGATGAGTAGTGACAGATTGTAAAAGCTTGAGAGCAATCATCTCAGGTGCAACTATTGGTCTTTTTGTGTGTAGCAAAGAAGAGGGCAAGAAACTGAAAAAATGCATGGAAAGAATTAGTCCACTGTTCTAATTGTTGTTGACTACCATTGAGTCCGGTACAACTCGTAGCAACCCGATGAACAAAAGTCCTGAAGCCTTTCTATAACTATCGTCATTTATCAAAGTTTATAGAGTTTCCAGAGGCAGGTGGTTTAGGAAATGGATGCCACTCCAACAGTTCTAATGGACTTTGGAAAACCCAACCTCTACCACCCTGAGACAAGAGGAACTAGATGCTACCTGGCTACCACAGCTCTGAAAGGGATTACAGTAGAGGTTCCTGAATAGACCTGAAAGTGGCCAGGCTTACTGATTTGTTGAAGACTGGAGGAACCCTCGAGATTATGGCCCTTAGTCACCCTTCACATCTGGGAAAAAACCTACCCCAGTAGCTGAACTTTCATTCAAACAACGAATAGGCCTATTAAGTGAGCTCTTTCATGAAATAGATTATATAAGACCAAAAAGTAGCACTAGCCCAGTGATAAAGTGAGCTAGAAAGCAGCAAAAGGGTAAAGGAGGATAAAAACATGATTGGCATCAAGAATCACAGGAAGTAGGGAGAGTGCTGTTACAGTATGGTGATTATCAGCAGTGCCATACAACAGAATACGAATGAATAGCTGACTGCAAAGTCAATCTGTAAACTTTCATTAAAATCACAATAAAAAGATTTAAAGAAAGGGAAAAATAGATGTCAGAAAAAAGTGCTAATACTTGCTCTCGAATGCACAGAAACTTCAGTAAATGGAAAAAATGACAAAACGAGAACAGATCAGATGATTATATTATAATGTGTAAACAAATGAAATGTGTAAAGATATTAAGTTAGAAAACATAAAACGAAAGAGTATGTCCTTGGTATTTCTCAAGGGGAAAGAGCTGAAGAAAATAGAATTCAAATCTTGAATTGCAGTATTGTTGTTGTTACAAGCCATCGAGTCAACTGCAACTCAGAGTGACCCGATGAACAATTGAAACCTTGTCCCATCTGCAACATCTTCATGACCTCTGACATGCACAAGTCTATTGTTCCAGTCATTGCCAATCCACATTGTTGAGGGTCATCCTCTTGCTGGTACTCTACTTTTACCAGCAAGATGTTTTATTCTAAGGACTTGTTCCTCTTGACAATATGCCCAAAGTACATGAGTTGAAGTTACACCATCCTTACCTCTAAGAACAGTTTCTCCAAGACAGGCTCGTTCATTCTTCTCACTGTCCAAGCTATACTCAGTACTCTTCTTCAACACCACTAATCAAAGGCATACGTTCTTCTTAGGTCATCCTTATTTGTTTTCCAACGTTCAGATGCATAGGAAGCATCTGAAAACACCACGGCCTGCATCAAGCACATTGCAGTCTTTAAACTACTAAACCTCAACGACACTGTGAACATCCTTACTCTTCAGCACTTTGGAGCAGTCCTCCACAGCACATTTTCCCACTGCAACACATCTTTGGATTTCTTGACTGTGATGCCATGGGTTTTGATTGTGAATCCAAACAAAAGGAAGTAGTTGACAGCTTCAGTCATTTTCCCTTCTGTCATCATGCTGATTTTTTTTTCTAATTCAACAATATTTGTTGTTGTTGTTGTTATGTGCCATCGAGTCTTTTGCGACTCATAGCGACCCTATGTACAACAGCCCTAAACCCCGCTCTATCCTGTGCCAATCTCATTGCCTCTGACACACCCATCCCAATTACCCCAGTCACTGAATCAATCCACCTCAT